CCATAAATATTGGGACATCAACACAATTTAACATCTTTGGCTCTATACACCACCACAATGGATTTGAAATGAAACGAACAAGATGTGCTTTAACTGCAGACTGTCAGCTTTAATTTGAGGGTATTTACATCTAAATCAGGTGAACGGTGTAGGAATTACAACAGTTTGCATATGTGCCTCCCACTTATGAAGGAACCAAAAGTAATGGGACAGAATAATAATCATACATCAAACTTTCACTTTTTAATACTTGGTTGCAAATCCTTTGCAGTCAATTACAGTCTGAAGTGTGGAACGCATAGACATCACCAGACGCTGGGTTTCATCCCTGGTGATGCTCTGCCAGGCCTCTACTGCAACTGTCTTCAGTTCCTGCTTGTTCTTGGGGCATTTTCCCTTCAGTTTTGTCTTCAGCAAGTGAAATGCTCAATCGGATTCAGGTCAGGTGATTGACTTGGCCATTGCAGAACATTCCACTTCTTTCCCTTAAAAAACTCTTTGTTGCTTTTGCAGTCTGCTTTGGGTCATTGTCCATCTGCACTGTGAAGCGTCCAATGAGTTCTGAAGCATTTGGCTGATTATGAGCAGATAATATTGCCCGAAACACTTCACAAATCATCCGGCTGCTTCTGTCAGCAGTCACATCATCAATAAATACAAGAGAAGCAGTTCCATTGGCAGCCATACATGCCCACGCCATGACACTACCACCACCATGATCACTGATGAGGTGGTATGCTTAGGATCATGAGCAGTTCCTTCTCCATCCTCTTCTCTTCCCATCACTCTGGTACAAGTTGATGTCGGTCTCATCTGTCCATAGGATGTTGTTCCAGAACTGTGAAGGCTTTTTTAGATGTCGTTTGGCAAACTCTAATCTGGCCTTCCTGTTTTTGAGGCTCACCAATGGTTTCCATCTTGTGGTGAACCCTCTGTATTCACTCTGGTGAAGTCTTCTCTTGATTGGTGACTTTGACACACATACACCTACCTCCTGGAGAGTGTTCTTGATCTGGCCAACTGTTGTGAAGGGTGTTTTCTTCACCAGGGAAAGAATTCTTCGGTCATCCACCACAGTTGTTTTCCGTGGTCTTCCGGGTCTTTTGGTGTTGCTGAGCTCACCGGTGCGTTCCTTCTTTTTAAGAATGTTCCAAACAGTTGTTTTGGCCATGCCTAATGTTTTTGCTATCTCTCTGATGGGTTTGTTTTGTTTTTTTTTTCAGCCTAATGATGGCTTCACTGATAGTGACAGCTCTTTGAATCTCATCTTGAGAGTTGACAGCAACAGATTCCAAATGCAAATAGCACACTTGAAATGAACTCTGGACCTTTTATCTGCTCATTGTAATTGGAATAATGAGGGAAAAAACACACACCTGGCCATGGAACAGCTGAGAAGCCAACTGTCCCATTACTTTTGGTCCCTTAATAAGTGGGAGGCACATATGCAAACTGTTGTAATTCCTACACCGTTCACCTGATTTGGATGTAAATACCCTCAAATTAAAGCGGACAGTCTGCAGTTAAAGCACATCATGTTCGTTTCATTTCAAATCCATTGTGGTGGTATATAGAGCCAAAAATGTTAGAATTGTGTTGATGTCCCAATATTTATGGACCTGACTGTAATTGTGAAGTGGAAGGAAAATGAGACATGGTTTTCAACATTTTTATTTACAAATAAATATATGAAAAGTATGGCGTGCATTTCTATTCAGCCCCTTTACTCTTATACCCTTAAATAAAATCTAGTGGAACCAATTGCCTTCAGAAGTCACCTAATTAGTAAATAGAGTCCCCCTGTGTGTCATGTGATCTCAGTATAAATCCAGCTGTTCTGTGAAGCCCTCAGAGGTTTGTTAGAGAACAAGTGAACAAACAGCATCATGAAGGCCAAGGAACACACCAGACAGGTCAGGGATAAAGTTGTGGAGAACTTTAAAGCAGGGTTAGGTTATAAAGAAAATATCCCAAGCTTTGAACATCTCACGGAGCACTGTTCAATCCATCATCCGAAAACGGAGATTATGGCACAACTGCCAACCTACCAAGACATGGCCGTCCACCTTAACTGACAGGCCGGGCAAGGAGAGCATTCATCAGAGAAGCAGCCAAGAGGCCCATGGGAACTCTGGAGGAGCTGCAGAGATCCACAGCTCAGGTGGGAGAATCTGTCCTCAGGACAACTATTAGTCGTCACTCCACAAATCTGCTCTTTATGGAAGAGTGACAAGAAGAAAGCCATTGTTGGAAGAAAGCAGTAAGAAGTCCCGTTTGCAGTTTGTGAGAACCCCATGTGGGGGACACAGCAAACATGTGGAAGAAGGGGCTCTGGTCAGAGGAGACCAAAACTGAACTTTCTGGCCTAAAAAAGCAAAATGCTATGTGTGGTGGAAAACTAACACTGCACATCACCCTGAACACACCATCCCCACCGTGAAACGTGGTGGCAGCATCATGTGGTGGGGATGCTTTTCTTCAGCAGGGACAGGGAAGCTGGTCAGAGTTGATGGGCAGAAGGATGGAGCCAAATACAGGGCAATCTTAGAAGAAAACCTGTTAGAGTCTGCAAAACCTCCGGGGGAGGTTCCCCTTCCAGCAGGACAACGACCCGAAACATCCAGCCAGAGCTACAATGGAATGGTTCCGATCAAAGCATCTTCATGTGTTAGAATGGCCCAGTCACAGTCCAGACCCAAATCCCATGGAGAATCTGTGGCCAGACCTGAAAATTGCTGTTCCCAGACGCTCTCCATCCAATCTGACAGAGCTTGACCGATTCTGCAAAGAACGGGCAGAAATGTCCCTCTCTAGATGTGCAAAGAGACATCCCCAAAAAGACTTGTAGCTGGAATGGCAGCCAAAGGGGGTCCTACAAGGTATTGACTCCGGGGGGCCGAATACAAATGCCGCCACATTTTTCACAGATTTATTTGTACAAAAATGTTGAAAACCATTTTTCATTTTCCTTCCACTTCACAATTATGGGCCACTTTGTGTTGGTCCATCACATCCAATCCCAATAAATACATTGACGTGTTTGGTGGTCACATGACAACACGGGGAACATTTCAAGGGGTGTGAAGACTTTTTCAAGGCATTGTACAGTGCTATGAAGTAGTGATGACAAGGAGAGGTTGGGTGTCACAATCCGTCTGAACTTCTTGTAGTATTGCTGCTAAACATGGCGTCTGCATTCAGCCGGGACCTCATTAGAAGTCTCATTTGCAAACAATCGCAGCATTGAGGAGGCAGATGACGAGGCAGACGGCACTCCAGAGGATCTCCGATGTTCAATACGAATGACAGGCTGGAGAATATTAACCTTTTGCTGCCAGCCGTAGGCGGACTTTATTCTGTGTACTGTTTTGTGCTGGGACTATGCTCAGCTGTGCGCCCCAAAACTGAGACCACGCTGTCCCGGACAGCTCCCCATCACACAACAGCAACTGGGAGCCAGTCCCCCGTGATCCTAGCAGAAATCCAGTGAGCTGAAAACTTCCTGTGCTCTCTGCATGCACTGACTGTTATCAGTTACAATTGTTCCTAGTTCTCTTTGTGTACTACAGAACACCTCCCCCATCTATTATGTTGAAGAACCCTATTGGGGCTCGTTTAAATGTGCAGGGGGAAGCGATAAAAACGTCTGACCTGTGTTTTTACTGCCCCCCCCCCAACTGTTCCCCCTGAAGCTACAAAGGCAGTGGCCAGGGGTGTCCATATGCCATGAATGAATAATGTATCCCGACTGTTACCCTTACCAGGCTGTACGGCATGCCATCATGAACCATTCAACTGGAATTTTAGGGGTTAAAGTGTAACTAAACCCCCAACAGTACAATCAGTCTGTAGATGCAGTAAAGCATGCTGGTTATACTCACTGTGGAACCTAAGGGGTTAATCCTCTGCATTGTGTAAAATGGCTGTTTGATCCTGTCTTCTCTGATCCTTCCCTTTTTCAAGTGACCACCTCTTATCTCCTGATAAGACAGACTGAACCGTAGGCACTGTGCACATGCTCAGTTTGGTGTGTATTGCTAGAGATGTGTTTTTTTTTTCTTGGGAGAGTGCATGAGATCAGCACAGTGCCAATCAGCACTGTCCAGACAGAGGTCAGGGGTTCTGCATCCTCCTAGAGCAGAAAGAAAACTCCCATAAGCTTTAACTAGTGCTCTGCTGGACACTGATAGAAGTCACAAGACTGCTATATGCTGCTGATGAGAAAAGGTATTTAGCGGTTTATATTTGCTAAAATAATTATATTTCCATGTTCTGTGTACTGTGGGAGACCAGATACAGTGAATGCCGGGTCCGGGGAGAGCAGATATAGTGAATGCGGGGTCAGGGGAGAGCGGATATAGTGAATGCAGGGTCCGGGGAGACCGGATATAGGGAATGCGAGGTCCGGGGAGAGCGGATATAGTGAATGCGAGGTCCGGGGAGAGCGGATATAGTGAATGCAGGGTCCGGGGAGAGCGGATATAGTGAATGCGGGGTCCAGGGAGATTGTATAGTGAATGCAGGGTCTGGGGAGAGTGGATATAGTGAATGCGGGGTCCGAGAAGAGTGGATATAGTGAATGCGGGGTCCGGGCAGATTAGATATAGTGAATGCGGGGTCCGGGGAGACCAGATATAGTGAATGCAGCATCCGGGGAGACCGGATATAGTGAATGCAGGATCCGGTGAGAGCGGATATAGTGAATGCGGGGTCCGGGGAGACCGGATATAGTGAATGCGGGGTCCGGGGAGACCGGATATAGTGAATGCGGGGTCCGGGAAAACCGGATATAGTGAATGCGGGGTCCAGGGAGAGTGGATATAGTGAATGCGGGGTCCAGGGAGAGCGGATATAGTGAATGCGGGGTCCGGGGAGACCGGATATAGTGAATGCAGAATCCGGGGAGAGCGGATATGGTGAATGCGGGGTCCGGGGAGACCAGATATAGTGAATGCGGGGTCCGGGGAGACAGGATATAGTGAATGCGGGGTCCGGGGAGAGCGGATATAGTGAATGCGGGGTCCGGGGAGAGCGGATATAGTGAATGCGGGGTTCGGGGAGAGCGGATATAGTGAATGCGGGGTCCGGGAGAGCGGATATAGTGAATGCGGGGTCCGGGGAGAGCGGATATAGTGAATGCGGGGTCCGGGGAGAGCGGATATAGTGAATGCGAGGTCCAGGGAGATCGGATATAGTGAATGCGGGGTCCGGGGAGAGCGGATATATTGAATGCGGGGTCCGGGGAGAGCGGATATAGTGAATGCGGGGTCCGGGGAGACCGAATATAGTGAATGCGGGGTCTGGGGAGACCGGATATAGTGAATGCAGGGTTCGGGAGACCGGATAGTGTGAATGCGGGGTCCGGGGAGAGTGGATCTAGTGAATGCGGGGTCCGGGAGAGCAAATATAGTGAATGCGGGTTCCGGGGAGAGCGGATATAGTGAATGCAGGGTCCGGGGAGACCGGATATAGTGAATGCAGGGTCTGGGAAGACCACATATAGTGAATGCGGGGTCCGGGGAGAGCAGATATAGTGAATGCGGGGTCCGGGGAGAGCGGATATAGTGAATGCGGGGTCCAGGCAGAGTGGATATAGTGAATGCGGGGTCCGGGGAGAGCGGATATAGTGAATGCGGGGTCCGTGGAGAGTGGATATAGTGAATGCGGGGTCCGAGAAGAGTGGATATAGTGAATGCGGGGTCTGGGGAGACTAGATATAGTGAATGCGGGGTCCGGGGAGACCAGATATAGTGAATGCAGCATCCGGGGAGACCGGATATAGTGAATGCGGGGTCCGGGGAGACCAGATATAGTGAATGCAGCATCCGGGAAGACCGGATATAGTGAATGCAGCATCCGGGGAGAGCGGATATAGTGAATGCGGGGTCCGGGGAGATCGGATATAGTGAATGCGGGGTCCGGGGAGAGCGGATATAGTGAATGCGGGGTCCGGGGAGAGCGGATATAGTGAATGCGGGGTCTGGGGAGACCGGATATAGTGAATGCAGGGTTCGGGAGACCGGATAGTGTGAATGCAGGGTCCGTGAGACTGGATAGAGTGAATGCGGGGTCCGGGGAGAGTGGATCTAGTGAATGCGGGGTCCGGGAGAGCAAATATAGTGAATGCGGTTTCCGGGGAGAGCGGATATAGTGAATGCAGGGTCCGGGGAGACCGGATATAGTGAATGCAGGGTCTGGGAAGACCACATATAGTGAATGCGGGGTCCGGGGAGAGCGAATATAGTGAATGCGGGGTCCGGGGAGAGCGGATATAGTGAATGCGGGGTCTAGGAAGACCACATATAGTGAATGCAGGGTCCAGGGAGAGCGGATATAGTGAATGCAGGGTACGGGGAGACCGGATATAGTGAATGCAGGGTCCGGGGAGACCGGATATAGTGAATGCGGGGTTCGGGGAGAGTGGATATAGTGAATGCAGGGTCCGGGGAGAGTGGATATAGTGAATGCAGGGTCCAGGGAGACCAGATATAGTGAATGCGGGGTCCGGGGAGAAAGGATATAGTGAATGCAGGGTCCGGGGAGAGCGGATATAGTGAATGCGGGGTCCGGGGAGAGCGGATATAGTGAATGCAGGGTCCGGGGAGAGCGGATATAGTGAATGCGGGGTCCGGGGAGAGCGGATATAGTGAATGCGGGGTCCGGGGAGAGCGGATATAGTGAATGCGGGGTCCGGGGAGAGTGGATATAGTAAATGCGGGGTCCGGGGAGAGCAGATATAGTGAATGCAGGATCCGGGGAGACAAGATATAGTGAATGCAGGGTCCAGGGATACCAGATATAGTGAATGCGGGGTCCGGGGAGACCAGATATAGTGAATGCGGGGTCCGGGAGAGAGCGGATATAGTGAATGCGGGGTCCGGGGAGAGCGGATATAGTGAATGCAGGGTCCGGGGAGAGCGGATATAGTGAATGCAGGGTCCGGGGAGAGCGGATATAGTGAATGCAGGGTCCTGGGTTTAGTAAAACTTTAAGGGCCAGTTCACATTACATGCGTTTCAGTTGCTTTTTTTTCTGCATCCAAAACGCGCAGAAAGTAGGTTATATTTTTGTCAGTGTCATAGTTCACATCAGTGCTTGCAGTTCCAGTGTGTTCTGGTTTCAGAAAAAAAAGTAGAACGGGCTGCATTTTTTCTGCTCAGAACTGCACTGGAATGCGGTAAAATGCATCAAAAACGCACTTCTATTTAAATTGAAGAAAAAGAGAGGAGAAAAAGTGAACTGGAATGTATAAAAATGCACTGGAACGTGTCTAAAACGCGCGTGCAAAAACACATCCGCAACGCATCTGGACTGCGTTTCTATAGTGTGAATGGGCCCTAAGTGTGAATGGGCCCTAAGTGTGAATGGGCCCGTGGGCTCAGGCTCAGAACTGGGTCAGTGGCTGTGAATCCATGCAACGTTTTCATCCCAGGGTTCAGATAATACTCCGTGCCAGAATTTAGATCAGAGAACACACAGCTGGACCCTGATTATGGGCAATACATACCTGCGACTAGGAGAGATCACATGACCATCGTTCTGCCGTTCACATTATCCAAGAACTGAACTCAACAGGTAGGACAGACTGCGTTTCCTCATAATAATCCCAAAATACGTCCGCTTGTCTGCGGTGATGACATCATAGGGGGTCCTGCATTTATACTTCAAGTCACTGGTCACATGGCTGCGACTTTTGAGAGATTTCTAAAGACTTTAATGCAAGATTTTCAACAATTTCTTGCAATTTGCATTCTATTCCATGTATGTGAAATTTCAATAAACTGCAGAAAAAGTAATGCAAGGACCACTTTAGAAATCGCGCCGCGGCAAATCGCGCATTAAGGCTCCGTTCACACCAATGCGTCTTTTAGTAGAAACGCACTACAGTCCGTTTATCATGGTTTCCTATGGGACATGTTCACATCTCTGCTTTTTGAGCCGCTGCATTTTTGGAAAGGGTCGAGGAGTTCTCTTTAAAAGCAAAAAGCTGCGTTTTTGCTACAATAGAGTTCAATGGAGAAGCTGCTGAAATGCATGGTGGTGCCTTTTTGCTGTGTTTTTGCATTTTTATTCTGCCCAGCAAAAAAAAATTCCACTTTAAAAAATAAAGCTGAAACAAAACACAGCAAAAATGCATAAAAAAAGTGTAGAAAAACAAAATAAACTGCCAAATGGACAAAAAGCAAACTGGATAGGTGTGAATGGAGCCTAAAAAAAAAAAAAATTCCACTTAAAAAAAAAAATGCTGAAACAAAACACCGTAAAAATGTGTCAAAAAAAGTGTAGAAAAACACAAAACAAACTGCAAAATGGAAAAAAAAAGCAAACTGGATAGGTGTGAATGGAGCCTAATATACTGCCTTTCACATTCATTAGATGGGATGTCAAATCGCACTGGTATGACCGGCACTTACCCCAGGTTCACACCTAAGCGCTTACTGACGCGTTTTGCAGAAACGCACTTCAGTCCATTTATCATGGTTTCCTATGGGACACGTTCACATCTGTGTCTTTTAGTGTGTTTTGCAGAAACGCACTACAGTCCACTTATGGTTTCCTATGGAACACGTTCACATCTGCTTTTTGAACTGCTGCGTTTTTGGAAAGGGTCTGAGACTTTTTTTTTTAAAAGCAAAAAGCTGCGTTTTTGCTACAATAGAGTTCAATGGAGAAGCTGCTGAAATGCATGGTGGTGCCTTTTTGCTGTGTTTTTGCATTTTTATTCTGCCCAGCAAAAAAAAAAATTCCACTTTAAAAAAATAAAGATGAACCAAAATACAGCAAAAAAGCATAAAAAAATGTGTAGAAAAACACAAAATAAACTGAAAAATGGACAAAAAGCAAACTGCATAGATGTGAATGGAGCCTAATATACTGATATTCACATTCATTAGATGCGATTTCAATTCACAAATCGCACTGGTATAGGGGCGGACTGACAAATCATGGGGCCCCCAGGTAATAGGGGATCATGGGGCCCCTGTGTCCTTGCCCAAACTCAAAAAAGCCTATGAAAAAGGTACCAGGGGCATCTCATGGGGCCCCCTACTGACCCCGGGCCCTCGGGCAGTGCCTGAGTTTCCAAATGGTCAGTCCGCCCCTGCACTGGTATGACCAGGCACTTACCTCAGGTTCACATCTATGCAGGTTTTGGTTGATGCATTTTTTTTTTTTTTTTTTTGAACACAAGGTTTTGATGCATTTTTTTTGGGCTAATAAAGCATGACAGTTCTGTTCATGTCGTGCAGTTTTGGTGTGACTTTACACTCTCTGGTACTCAAAAAGCAACAAATTCGCACGACATGAACAGAACTGTCATACTTAGCTAGCAGGCACCCAGGGCTTTTTGTTCAGCAGGAACGCAGTTCCGGCACCTCCAGCACTGAAAATATATAATGGTAAGGGGTGCTGAGATGTTATGGAGGGTCTATTGATACCGGCTGCAAGGAGATCTATTGTTGCTGGGGGGGTAAGTTGTTGCTGGAGGGTATATTTTTTTTCCTTTTAGGATCTATTGTTGCTGGGGTGGATCTATTGTTGCTGTGGCAGGTCTATTTTCCTTTTAGGATCTATTGTTGCTGGGGTGGATCTATTTTCCTTTTAGGGTCTATTGTTGCTGAGAGGATCTCTTGTTGCTGGGGTGGATCTATTTTTCTTTTAGGGTCTGTTGTTGCTGAGAGGGTCTGTTGTTGCTGGGGTGGATCTATTTTTCTTTTTAGGATCTGTTGTTGCTGGGGTGGATCTATTTTCCTTTTCGTGTCTATTGTTGCTGAGAGGGGGGGTCTTTTGTTGCTGGGGTGGATTTATTTTTCCATTAGGATCTATTGTTGCTGGGAGGGTCTATTGCTCCTGGGGCGGATCTATTTTTCCTTTTTATGATCTGCTGTTGCTGGGAGGGTCTGTTATTGCTGGCTGTGGGGAATCTGTTAGTGCTTTTCTTGTTACCCTTACCAAATTCCTTACAAATTGATTCTGTATTCTCTAAAAGGGGCGGAACCAAGGTATGGTGCTCGGAGGTGGGCAGGGGGTGGAGACAAGGGACAGTGCTAGGAGGTGGGCGGGGGGTGGAGACAAGGGACGGTGCTTGGATGTGGGTGGGGGGAGGAGACTAGGGATGGTGTTTGGAGGTGGGCAGGGGGCGGAGGCGAGGGACAGTGTTTGGAGGTGGGCGGGGGCGGAGGCGAGGGACGGTGTTTGGAGGTGGGCAGGGGGCGGAGGCGAGGGACGGTGTTTGGAGGTGGGCGGGGGGCGGAGGCGAGGGACGGTGTTTGGAGGTGGGCGGGGGCGGAGGCGAGGGACGGTGTTTGGAGGTGGGCGGGGGCGGAGGCGAGGGACGGTGTTTGGAGGTGGGCAGGGGGCGGAGGCGAGGGACGGTGTTTGGAGGTGGGCGGGGGGCGGAGGCGAGGGACGGTGTTTGGAGGTGGGCAGGGGGCGGAGGCGAGGGACGGTGTTTGGAGGTGGGTAGGGGGCGGAGGCGAGGGACGGTGTTTGGAGGTGGGCGGGGGCGGAGGCGAGGGACGGTGTTTGGAGGTGGGTAGGGGGCGGAGGCGAGGGACGGTGTTTGGAGGTGGGTAGGGGGCGGAGGCGAGGGACGGTGTTTGGAGGTGGGTAGGGGGCGGAGGCGAGGGACGGTGTTTGGAGGTGGGCAGGGGGCGGAGGCGAGGGACGGTGTTTGGAGGTGGGCAGGGGGCGGAGGCGAGGGACGGTGTTTGGAGGTGGGCAGGGGCGGAGGCGAGGGACGGTGTTTGGAGGTGGGCGGGGGCGGAGGCGAGGGACGGTGTTTGGAGGTGGGCAGGGGGCGGAGGCGAGGGACGGTGTTTGGAGGTGGGCAGGGGGCGGAGGCGAGGGACGGTGTTTGGAGGTGGGCAGGGGGCGGAGGCGAGGGACGGTGTTTGGAGGTGGGCAGGGGCGGAGGGCGAGGAGGACGGTGTTTGGAGGTGGGTAGGGGGCGGAGGCGAGGGACGGTGTTTGGAGGTGGGTAGGGGGCGGAGGCGAGGGACGGTGTTTGGAGGTGGGTAGGGGGCGGAGGCGAGGGACGGTGTTTGGAGGTGGGTAGGGGGCGGAGGCGAGGGACGGTGTTTGGAGGTGGGTAGGGGGCGGAGGCGAGGGACGGTGTTTGGAGGTGGGTAGGGGGCGGAGGCGAGGGACGGTGTTTGGAGGTGGGTAGGGGGCGGAGGCGAGGGACGGTGTTTGGAGGTGGGTAGGGGGCGGAGGCGAGGGACGGTGTTTGGAGGTGGGTAGGGGGCGGAGGCGAGGGACGGTGTTTGGAGGTGGGTAGGGGGCGGAGGCGAGGGACGGTGTTCGGAGGAGGGTAGGGGGCGGAAAAAAGGGGTGACATGGAAGGAGGTAGTACCTGCACCTATTCTCTGAGAAGAAAAGCCCTTTTTTTTTTTTCTTTTTTTTTTTGACACAAATAGAAAAAACTTTCCCTCTATGTAGGAATTTCCTGTAATAAAGACCGCTCACTGCTGCTCTCTCTCCTTGTGCAGTGTGACTGGTCTTGTCTCCGCCTCCTCCTGGTTTTTGTAGTGGGTGGGGCCTGCTAGATCCCTGCCATGGCTTTGCTCTCTGCACAGGCTATGTACAGCGCAGCGATGATGTCACTGTTGATTTTTCCAAGGTAACATCTGGGTTTTCAAAGGCCTTTGGTGTACAAAAAGTGGATTTAAACACTTTGTTGCTAATGAGGAATATATTTG